AAGAGCGTCTCGACGCGAATGCCTGATCATCAATCTGCTGCCGTTAATGCGAACGAAATTAAGGAAAATGTTTGTCATCCTCATGGACCCTCCGCCGCGCTGACCGGTTTGGAAGATCTACTGAACAATCTGCGCATAGGTTGCGATGAAAGTGGCTACGATTCAGATAGTACACGAGCCGGTGCGGATTCGCCGGATAGTGAAAAATTGGCAGTGCCTTCGTCGTTGAAACCGCGTAGTTTCTCGTTAACGTCCGACGATTATCACGGCTTGCCGCTACTGTTCCGTAGCGATGCCTCTCGAAAAAAAGACGCAGTGATCGAGTCAGAGTCATCCGGAACGTACACTTCGACAGACGTCGAGAAAGTCGACGTTGCTGTCGACGCTGCGACAAACCGTGCTTCCTTCAATGATTCGACTACAACGCAAACTACCATCTTAATGTCGGAAGATGATACGGATAGCTGCGACGATGATACTTTCGCCGATCTTATGGAATATCAACCAGATTTAACGAGAACTTATTCTAAGAGGGAAGCAGATTTCTTTCCGCAGTGTCACGAGGATCTAATGAAAGCAGCGTCTTCCGCGACTCCCGTTCTGCTTGGCGAGGATTTAACGAAACTCAAGATGACGGAGAGTAATAATCCCGACGTTACTCTGACACAATATGACACCTCTGACGATGCTGATACACGTGGCATCGATGATGTCAAAACAAAAGTCGATTTCAGAGAGAGAAAATCTTGTGTAACGCCAACAAATCATGTACCTCAGATGATCAGATTTCAGAATTTACTGAAAGACAAGAAATATAGAAATCGCAAATGCTCTAGTCCGAGTGTGTTACATCTTTTAGATCATGCCGCGTCTCCGTGTAACGACAGTCCACCGGCTAACAAAGTCTCTCCTCTATCTGAGACGATGAATAACCCGCTACGATATTACAGTCCGAAGAGATCACGCTCCACTCTGGAACTCGATATAACGGACGTGACAAGGAACGCGGCGAAGAGAGTGTTGACGGTGAACGTCGCTCTTCCTACAGTTTCCAAGACTGTCAACAAAACCCTAGTACGACGCGAATTAAAAACGATGAAACTCACGGTGAACCATAGCGAGACTCCGGCGGGTCTCGGTATTTCGGTGGAGCGACACGAGGCGGCCAGGCCGTTTTACGTAATCGCCAGGATGGATCCGGATGGTGAAGCAGCTAGATCGAAGCAGTTTTGTCTCGGCGACGAGATCGTCCGAGTCTGCGGACGTAGGATACGCGGTATGTCGATGGCGGAGGCGCGAAACGCCTTGCGAAGCTGCGTCGGCACGGTTGAGCTGCAGGTAGCGAGGGAGCCGAAGAAAATCGGCGACACCTGGGGCGACGTCTTGACACGAACTCGAAGCGATCCCGATTCGTGGATCTCGAAGAGCCAGAAAACCGAATTTCAGCCGGCTTTCCGTGCATCATCTTCGACGAACGCCGGCGCATCTCTTGCCGTTGACGAGACGACTACTACTATCCGGAAAATAACGGGGATGAAGAAGTTCCAGATCGTGAGGAAACGAAGCGCCGAAGCTCCCACCGTTCAACGAGGCTCCAGTCTAGCCATGGATCTGCTGACGGTTGTATTAATAAAGGGCGCGCCGAAGAAATTGGGCTTCTCCATCGTCGGGGGTGTGGATAGCAATAAAGGGCGAATGGGTATCTTCGTGAAAGATATTATGCCCGATGGACAAGCTGCGGAGGAAGGTATCGTATTTTTTCTATTCTATATATTTTCGAGACAATAGAGTGCGGTTTACCTTAAAATATGTATAAGACTAAATAAAATGAAAATAAAAATATATGGGAAAGGATAATGATGAAAGATGTAATATAAAGAGGAAAAAACAGTTTCCATATTTGTTTGCCTGTAATGTTATTAAAGGTACTCTGAGAGCGGGGGACGAAATTCTAGCCATTAACGGCTCCTCATTAGACGGACTAACGCACGCCAAGGCGTTGCAGATGTTCAAGAACACCAAAGCCGGGAACTTGATACTTCACGTCGCCCGAAGAGACCCGACGCATAAACGGTTGTGTCACAAATCATGCAGTTTAGAGTAACGCGATGTTTAAAATTAACACACCGGTAAATATTAACACACCGGTTAGTTTTTGCTTCGTTCGATTAACAATCATCTCCCACTGGACAATCTTTACTTGCTTGTTGCTTTCTTGTTTCTTTCATCGTTAATTAATAATTATAATTATGTGACATCTAACAATTATTTTTTTTTCTGTGTTGCAGATACATCACGCAATCAAAATCGTATGATTGCCTCAACAAATTAACGAAGTCTGCCGACGAGTGAAATTATTGCCATTATTATCGTTATAGAATTAATCTCATTGCTGTAAACATATAATGAATTATTTTGAGAAATTCTTTTTCACATACGATTTTTTCTAGGATCTATTAAATTAATAATTTATATTTCAAAAAGGTTATATGCTAATGATATCTTGCGTTCAAAATAATTTACATACATCTTGATTAACATCCTAATATATTTCCAATAGTATTTTATATACAAAAGTATATATATATATATATGTAGGCTGTAATCAAACCATAATTGTGATAGCAATCGATTATTTTTACCAATGGGTAATATTCGTAATCCACTTCTTTGTCTAGATTTTTTTTTGACAAATAAGAATATTTAGCACTATGTATAATATTGATTTTGAAATCTCTAAACAAAATCTCAGAGATGGTAATAGTCTGCATTTATTTACATTTATATATTGCATATTTAATTAACTTATTCTGTGTTTCAGAAAAAGAAGGAAAATAGGGAAAATTAAATTATATATTGCTATTAAAATATTTGCATTCTAGGAACACAGTCTATTTACATATAAACGTTATACTCTAACGTTAGAGATGTTAATTAAGGATATAGAATAGTTAGCGCGATAACGATATTATGCAGCTTTATAACCATGTCCTGTTAGATGTGGTATGCTAACAACTTGGAATATGGTTTGACTTAACAGCATTGTAGGATTTAATATATGTTTTTTTTTTAAAAAACGTATTATTGAGTAAATCGAACTACGCGAAAATTTAAAAAAAAAATCTAGTTTTGTCCGAGAACACATAAGTCATTGATCGCGTATCGTTACTACAATAATTAATAATTTTCATTAAGTTATTTGTTAAGAGACTGACATTACGAATGTCTACCTGCAAAATGCTGTGATATCAATTATAGTCGTATCGGCTTTGTATAATATTATTACTGTATATTTAATAATAAATGTGATGTTGTTAAATATAAACATACCTTTTTACAGGCTTCTCTCTTTTAATCAAATACTTGAAAAAAACTTCATGCAAATTTTTGAATTTTTATCTATAGTTTGTTGCCGCTCGAGTTGAAGATATATTGGTCACAAGAACTCACTAAGCATTTATATTTCAGAATTAATTACTCTTTCAACGATAAGAATGCCGTGAAATAAGATACACCTGTTCGCACCACCTTAAATCAAACAGGAATGCACAAGTCACTTCTTGTATATATTGTAAAATAATTTTTGCAGATTCTTTCTCATACTTACCGCGGCGAAGAGTGGCATCGACAACGGAAACAAATTACCTGCTGTCAATTTGCACGGAACAACACTTCTGTAAAGAGTTATAATTAACAATGACTTTAATCTTGGCGAGAACTTATACCATTTCGCTGCATATCTGCGAGAAAAAAATATTTTTAAAACTATTTTATGTAAGATTTTCATCAGCATCGCAATGTGACGCAAACTAGGATATATTTTATGTATCTCTGGGTATATAATATTACAGCCAAAAAAATTTTTTTTGAATTGCTCCAAAATCGATTTGCAAGTTTTGAAGCATATAAAAATTTAGAACATGATCGAAATTTATAAATTAATTTTGACATATTTTTGATAAACCGAATTTCGCGGGACTATTTGTAATATAAACGTAAATATATATGTAAAAATATAAAAAATTGTTATTACACTCGGTGGAATATATTCTGACTTTCGTCCATTAATTTCTGGCCGGAATAACACAGGATCATCAATTGTAGTAACGCTCCCATGATGATAAACGTAAATCTAATCATTTCTTCTACTTGATCTAACACATAGACAATCTATAATATATATAAAATATCAAAAATATTATATATATCCATGTCCTGTCTAAAATAATAATTATAATTTCACGTCATTTCTTCGTCATAATATATAACAAGGCCGATTATGGGAAAGTTGGCCATTTAAAAATGTATCCTACGCGATACGTATGAATAATTACTTAACGCTTACGCGAACTCCAAGCAGACTGAAAACCGCGCCAATCAATAATGAGAAGCTAATTCCCACAATCTTATGCGTATCATTTAATATATCGACATACCTGTAAAATCACAATGATTTTAATGAATCACATTATTTTATTATATCTAGATCATCTTTGGCGATTTTTTGCGAAAGATTGTCAAAAGATCGAACGCGATAGAATTCGCGCTTACTCTAAAGCAAGTTGATGTTTTTCCAAACACACAATGTATTTCCGATATATCATTTTCTCATTGAATAATTTATACTCCGTATTAGCGCCATATCCAGTTTCGTTGACTTCCTGCGATACTACGTTCTCAATTTGTTGACTGCAATACAATTCTCGCGATATTTCGCGAAAGGATGTATTTCAAACGATTTTTTTTTTTTTTTTCACCCACATTCTGATATCGTACTTACCCGACAACTTGGAATAAGCTGCACGCGTGCGCGGTGCATGCAATATGCATAGTATCAACAGACACCATGATGGTCATACCCACCGTGATCATGATAGTGGTGTACAAAAATATTTCTACAAAGTACTTATTTTGATCTATCCCATATTCGGCGTACACTGCAAAGTGTCGCGGACGCGATTCATTAAGAGGTAGCACGATATCGAGAAATATCGGTCCTAATGAAGGTATTATGATAAACATTGACATCATAACATATATCAACACTGCAAATTTATCAATTTTATATATACATAATGTTTTAAATATATTATTATATATAAAGAGTGTATTGATCATTATACGTATGTATATATACATATACATAATTTTTTTTTTTTATGAAGTAACAGATCACTCACTGGAATAAGATACTGTAAATTTTTGTGATATACCAGAATAAGTTTTCATAATTTGAACTTCAAATTCATTCGTAAATATATTCCAATGATTTTCCATAGTTTCATATAAACGCTGAAACTAATCACAAAAGACAAACATGCAAAAACAATTATATATAATATACATAATTGTTAAAATAATAGAGAAAGAGAGAGAGAAGTAAATTTCACTTAAATAAAACTTAAAGATATAATTAGCATTGACGTTTCGAATATTTATATTTACCTTGCTGCGGTACATATATAATTGTTAAAATAAGAGAGAGAGAGAGAGAGAGAGAGAGAGAGAGAGAGAGAGAGAGAGAACCAGAATAAGTTTTCATAATTTGAACTTCAAATTCATTCGTAAATATATTCCAATGATTTTCCATAGTTTCATATAAACGCTGAAACTAATCACAAAAGACAAACATGCAAAAACAATTATATATAATATACATAATTGTTAAAATAATAGAGAAAGAGAGAGAGAAGTAAATTTCACTTAAATAAAACTTAAAGATATAATTAGCATTGACGTTTCGAATATTTATATTTACCTTGCTGCGGTACATATATAATAGAGAGAGAGAGAGAGAGAGAGAGAGAGAGAGAGAGGTAAATAAAACTTAAAGATAAAATTAGCGATGTACATTGACGTTTCGAATATTTACCTTGCTGCGGTACCAAAGCTGATTCAATAATTTTACAAGGAAAGCCAATGTTATAACCATTTGATACAGACATTCAAAAATCATTTGTCCACTATCTCTATGTATATACAATGTTATTATCTGCGGTTCAATCGTAATTCGAAAAGAAAATATATATAATATAGCAAAAATAATATTTGGCATATGTGTATATGTATGTGTGGATAGAAACTTTTAAAGACTCTCTAATCGAACATCCAGAAATTCAATCGATTATTACCTCAAACGGCAAATAACTTAATTCGAGTACAAAGCAAAACATTGACAATGAACGTCTCGCGAGCTTACATTGGAATGGCCAAAGACCTAGACACGACAAGAATATTCTATTGATATTGTACTCTCGAAGTATATTCATCAGCATGATTCTCTTCTGCTTGTAACGAAAGAAATGACCGCGTGCGCGTGTCAATCGATCTTTGCACGACTGAAGAATCGTAAAATTATAGAGGTGTCGGAAGAATTGTAAAATTATGGGATGTCAAATATATCTCTCGTTACTTATGTATCGTCAAAATTAAATTGCTACTTGTCTCTGAAATGCAATTTCTTACATGTCTTTTCAGAATGATATTTGTCGATGTTACGTGACACAATAGCTGGTGAGGATATGAGAATAATAAAAAGCAAGCGAGCGCTCTGTTTTATCTTGAATTTATCAAAGAATTTCTCTCCTATTCTGCTACGTTTTTTTTTCTCTTTTTAAATATTAATAAATTCAGGTATGGTCATTTTCGAATGTTTGTCGTGTGCGTATATAATAATTTATACGCGTTCGAAGAGAGAGATAATATCTGTCTACTTACTTATTCTTATCAATATTTAATAATCTCTCATCTTTACATGTATCTTCGTAATATAACCAATCACATTGTACGATCATATACCCTAAAGGCTGTCGTATTTCTCTCTTGATAAGACATTCAATCTTTAAACCATTTATAGACGCGAGTCGCGCGTCGCAGAGTCACATTTATTGTGCAAGCGCACTTCGAGATCTGCTCTCAAGGAAATTCGCTCAAGATTTATGCTTTCGTATCTCAAAGAATGGTCTTTGCAAATAGCATACGACCGGCCACGTTAGTTGTAAGTAATGAAAAAATACGGGAAATATTATATGACACCGGTGAGGATGTTACACGATATTTATAGGAGGAAGTTTCGGAAGTAAATTACTAATTAAATAAAGTACGAATCGATGTGCTTTTTAGATATATCTCGGAATTTAATTATACGATTATGGCTCGTTGGTGCTAATGCCCGGAATAATAGACTCCCACGTACATGTAAACAAACCCGGTAGAACCGAGTAACCCGGGAAGGATTTTAAAATATATATATAAGATCAAATAAAATGAAAATAAAAATATATGAGAAGGGATAATGATGAAACATGTAATATAAAGAGGAGAAAACAGTTTTCATATTTGTTTGTCTATAATGTTATTAAAAGCACTCTGAGAGCGGGGGACGAAATTCTAGCCATTAACGGCTCCTCGTTAGACAGACTAACGCACGCCAAGACGTTGCAAATGTTCAAGAACATCAAAGGCGGGAATTTGATACTTTATGTCGTCCAAAGAGACCTGACGCATAAATGGTTGTGTAAACCATGCAGTTTAGAGTCATGCGATGTTTAACTATTAACACACCGATTAATTTTTGCTTCACTCTGTTAACAATCATCTCCCATTGGACAATCTTTACTTGCTTCTTATTTCCTTGCTTCTTTCGTCGTTAATTAATAATTATAATTATGTGACATCTAACAATGATTTTTTTCTATTGCAGGTACATGACGCAATCAAAATCGTATAATTGCGTCAACAAATTAACGAAGTCTGCCGATGAGTGAAATTATTGCCATTATCGTCGTTATAGAATTAATCTTATTGCTGTAAACATAATGAATTATGTTGAGAAATTTATGTCCACTTTTTTGTCTAGATTTTTTTTGACAAATAAGAACATTTAGCGCTGTATAATATTTATTTTGAAAACTCTAAACAAAATCTCAGAGATGGTAATAGTCTGCATTTATTTACATTTATTTACAGGCTTCTCCCCCTTTTAATTAAAAATTTCAAAAAAACTGTACAAATTTTTGAATTATTACCTTTAGTTCGTTGACGCTCGAGTTGAAGACATATCAGTGACAAAAAGTCATACCATTTCAGAATTAATTAATCTTTCAACGATAAGAATGTCGTGAAATAAGATACACTCGCTCGCACCACCTTAAATCGAACAGAAACGCACAAGTAATTTCTCGTATATATCGTAAAATAATTTTTGCAGATTCTTTATCATACTTACCGCGGCGAAGAATGACATCGACAACGGAAACAAATTACCTGCTGTCAATTTGCACGGAATAACACTTCTATAAAGAGTTATAATTAACAATGATTTTAATCTTGGCGAGAATTTATACCATTCCGCTGTATACCTGTGAAAAACAAATATTTTTTAAAACTATTTTATATAAGAATTTTATCAGACTCGCGATCTGACGCAAATTAGGAAATATCGTAAAAAACTTTCTTAAAATTTTGTGATATTTTAAATATTTTATGTATCCCTGGATATAATATTACAGCCAAAAAAAATTTGAATTGCGACTCTATTCTAAGAGAAACTCCTACATTGATTTGCAAGTTTCGAAGCATATCGAAATTTAGAACATGATCAAAATTTATAAATTAATTTTGAGATATTTTTGATAACCCGAATTCCACGGAACTTATTTAATATAAGTGTAGATATATATGTAAGAATATAAAATTATTATTACGCTCGGTGGAATATATTCTGACTTTCGTCCATTAATTTCTGGCCGGAATAACACGCGATCATCAATTGTAATAACGCTCCCATGATTATAAACGTATATCTAATCATTTCTTCCATTTGGTCTAATACATAGACAATCTATAATATATATTATATATCAAATATTATATATATTATATATATTATATTGTATTATATATATCTACGTCTTGTCTGAAATATAATTATAAACTCACGAAATTTTTATGTAATAATATATAACGATGCCGATTATGGGAAAGTTGGCCATTTAAAAATGTATCCTACGCAATACATATGAATAATTACTTAACACTTACGCGAACTCCAATCAAACTGACAAGCGCGCCAAGCAATAATGAAAAGCTAATCCCCACAATCTTATGCGTGTCGTTTAATATATCGACATACCTGCAAAATAACAATAATTTTAATGAATCACATTCTTTTATTACATCTAGATCATCTTTGGCGATTTTTTGCAAAAGATTGATCGAAAGATCGAACGCGACAGAACTCGCGCTTACTCTAAAGCAAGTTGATGTTTTTTCAAACATACAATGTATTTTTGATATATCATTTTCTCGTTGAACAATTCATACCCCGTATTGGCGCGATATCCAGTTTCGTTGACTTCCTGCGATACTACGTTCTCAATTTGTTGACTGCAATACGATTCTCGCGATATTTCGTGAAAGGATGTATTTCGAATAATTCATTTTTTTTTTACCCACATCCTTATATCGTACTTACCCGACAACTTGGAATAAGCTACATGCGTGCGCGGTGCACGCAATATGCATAGTATCAACAGACACCATGATGGTTATACCCACCGTGATCATGATAGTAGTGTACAAAAATATTTCTACAAAATACTTATTTTGATCTATCCCATATTCGGCGTACACTGCAAAGTGTCGCGAACGCGATCCATTAAGAGGTAGCACGATATCGAGAAGCATCGGTCCTAATGAAGGTATTATGATAAATGTTATCATCATAACGTATATCAACACTGCAAATTTATTAATTTTATATATACATAGTTTCTTAAATATATTTTTATATGTAAAGGATATCGATCATTATTCTTCTTTTATAAAATAACACATCACTCACTGGAGTAAGATATTACAAATTTCTGTGATATGCCAGAATAAGTTTTCATAATTCGAACTTCGAAGTCATTCGTAAATATATTCCAATGATTTTCCATAGTTTCATATAAACGCTGAAACTAATCACAAAAGACAAACATGCAAAAACAATTATATATAATATATATAATTGTCAAAATAATAGAGAGAGAGAGAGAGAGAGAGAGAGAGAGAGAGAGAAAGAGAGAAGTACATTTCACTTAAATAAAACTTAAAGATAAAATTAGCAATGTACATTGACGTTTCGATTATTTATATTTACCTTACTGCGGTACCAAAGTTGATTCAATAATTTTACAAGGAAAGCCAACGTTACAATCATTTGATACAGACATTCAAAAATCATTTGTTTATTATTTCTATGCATGTATAATGTTATTATCTGCAGTTTAATTATATTGTAATCCGAAAAGAAAATATATATAATATATATAGGAAAAATAATATTTGGCATATATGTGTATGGATAGAAACTTTTAAAGACTAATCAAACGTCTAGAAATTCAAATGTATCGATTATTACCTCGAACGGCAAGTAACTTAACTCGAGTACAAAGCAAAACATTGACAATGAACATCTCGCGAGCTTACATTGGAATGGCCAAAGACCTAGACACGACAAGAATATTCTATTGATATTGTACTCTCGAAGTATATTCATCAGCATGATTCTCTTCTGCTTGTAACGAAAGAAATGACCGCGTGCGCGTGTCAATCGATCTTTGCACGACCGAAGAATCGTAAAATTATAGAGGTGTCGGAAGAATCGTAAAATTATGGGATGTTAAATATATCTCTCGTTACTTATGTATCGTCAAATTGCTACTTGTCTCTGAAATGCAATTTCTTACATGTCTTTTCAGAATGACATTTGTCGATGTCACATGACACACTAGCTGGCGAGGATATGAAAATAATAAAGAGCAGGCGAGCGCTATGTTTTATCTTGAATTTATCAATGAATTTCTCTCATATTTTGTTACATTTTTTTCTCTCTTTGAAAATTGATAAATGCAAGTACGGTCGTTTTTGGATGTTCGTCGTGTGCATATATAATTTATACGCTGTCGAAGAGAGAGATAATATATCTGTCTACTTATTTATTCTTATCAATATTACGTCTTCATAATATAACCAATCACATTGTACGATCATATACCCTTACAAAGGCTATCATATTTCTCTCTTGATAGGACATTCGATCTTGAAACTATTTATAGACGCGAGTTGCGCGTCGCAGAGTCACATTTATTGTGCAACCACACTCACTTCAAGATGTGCTCTCAAGAAAATTCGTCCAAGATCTGTGCTTTCGTATCTCAAAGAACGGTCTTCGCAAATAGCGTACGACCGGCCACGTTAGTTGTAAGTAATGAAAAAATACGGGAAATAGTACATGACACCGGTGAGGATGTTGCACAATATTTATCGAAGGTAAGTTTCGGGCGTGAATTACTAATTAAATAAAGTGCATTTTAAATAAAGTGAATCGACGTGCTTTTTAGAAATATCTCGGAATTCAATTTCACGATTACGGCTCGTTGGTGCTAATGCCCGGAATAATAGACTCCCACGTACATATAAACGAACCCGGTAAAACCGAGTGGGAAGGATTTAACACCGCTACACGAGCGGCCGCGGCCGGTGGTATTACCACGGTCGTGGATATGCCTCTGTAATGATCTTTATTCTTCTCCGTCCATCGTGTGTTTGTGAACGCTAAAAAATTATCTTTAAACTTACATTATTTATCTCATGTTACAGGAATTCTCTTCCGTTTACTACCACCTTAGACAATCTCAAAATCAAGGCAACGGAAGCGTATTCAAAAATATTTGTAGACGTTGCGTTCTGGGGCGGTGCAATACCGGGAAATCAGGTATATTACACAAGGAAGTTTTTAGATAAAATTTTTGCATATTTGAACACAATACATGAAATATATACTATGTATTACGTACGAAAAAAAAATTTATCTTCGAAGAATAACGCGGGGACAGATGTCGCGAGAGATCAGTCGAGTCGTTCGAGATTAATTAATCTTTGATCGATAGGAATGTCGTGAAATAAGACATGCCCGCTCGAATTACCTTAAACCACGAATGCGTATTTCATACGTTGTTTTTCATACATTGTAATAAATTTACGAGATTTTGTATTATACTTACCGCGGCATAAGTCGTCATCGACAACGGAACTAATTTACCTGCAGTTAAACTGCACGGTATGCTACTCCGATAAAGTGTTGTAATTAACAGCGATTTTAGTCTCGGTGAGTACATATACCATTCTGCCGCGTATCTGCAAAAAATAAATATTTACATTGATAAGATCTTTGCGAATCTTATCGAAAATTATTCCGTCTTTTCTGATTTACGGGTGAAAAAAAATATTAACATTTTTTTAAGTGTGATTTAAAATTGAGGATATTATCTGAAATATTGTTTTATCAAAATTATTATTTCGAAGCCGCATATAAATATATTTGAGTATAAAATAATTATATTACGCTCGGTAGAATATATTCTGACTTTCGTCTATTAATTTTTGACCAGAATAACACATTATCATCAATTGTAGTAACGCCCCCATGATTATAAATGTAAATCTAAGCATTTCTTCCATTTGGTCTAATATATAGACGATCTATAATATTAATATTAAAAAATATTACTTACGAAATTTATATAATAATATAAATTTTTCATACGAATTTCATTGTTATATATAGAATTAATTATTTTTAAAAGCAAAATTAAAATTTAGTTATTTTTGTATCTAATATATTTTTTACAAAATCTATGTCAATATAGCAAATATGTATTGTCGCGAGAAAGATTTTGTTTTGTCTCTGAGAAATTCATTTAAAAAAAGCTCATATCTGTTATTTATTTTTGCTTTCTACGATGAATCTTATTGAGAAATAAATTGAGATATAAATAATACTTACTCGAATTCCAATCAGACTTAAGGTTGCACCAATCAATAATAAAAAGAACACTGCAACTGTTTGATGCGTCGAATTCAGTATATCGACAAATCTAAGAATCACAATCGTAACAACAACAATAACCTTGTATTAATTTAATGCATCATATATGCAAAATTGAAAAATGATTCAAAGTGCCTTACTTTAATGCAAGTTGATATTTTTTTAAACATGTAATGTACTCCTGATATATCGCTTGCTCGTCTGACGATTTAAGCTCCTTATACATGCAACATTCGTGTTTTTCCACATCTAGTTTCAACGTCATGTTTTCAATTTGTTCACTATAAAATATATACATATGATTTTTACGACACGCTCCCCGAAAAGTTCCAAATATCGTATACACTTACCCGATAATTGCGAACAAACTGCACGCATGAGTGGTGCATGTGAAATGCATTGTGTCAGCACCCACCATAATGCTTATACCCACCACAATTATAGCAGTAGTGTAACAAAAAAGCGGCAAAAAATACTCGTTTGTATCTACTCTAAATTCGACATCGATCGCCAAGATTCGTGGACGCGATTCGTTAAGAGGCAACACGATATCTAAGAAAGCCGGTGTTAACGGGATCACTATAAACATTGAACTCAAAAGGTACATCATAACTGCAAAATTTCGTGAGAAAAAAATACATATATTTTCCTTACATTAATAATCTAATCAAAATTGTGGTTTCTAGAAACCGTCGTTATAATAATTTCGGCAAAGAGATTTACATAATATAAAATGTACTCACTTGAATAAAATATCGTAAACTTTTGTGATATGTTGGAATAATTTTTCAGAATTCGAACTTCCAAATCATTTGTGAATATATTCCAATGATCGTTCATAGCCTCGTATAAACATCGAAACTGTTCGTAACAATAATGTCTATATCAAAGAGAGATAACCTTTCCACCCAGAGATAATGATTGAGAAAATATAAGCGACGCATCTCGTTGCTTTGAAATATTTACCTTATTGCGATTCCAAATCTCATTCCATAACCGTACTAGGAAAGCAGTTGTTATCACTAATTGATAGCAACCTTCGAAAACCATTTGCGCGTCGTCCTGATGATCGTATACCATTAATATCTACATGCAACATCAATTCGGAACACATATAATAAAGCAATTATATTGATATGCAATTATATAAAATCGTCTAAGCGCGTCTTGAATGATTACCTCAAACGGGTAGTAACTAATTTCAAGAACGAGGTAAAAGATTGGCAACAAATTTCTCACGAGCTTACTTTGGAACGGCCAGAGGCCCAAGCGTGACAAAAATATTTTATTGGCATTGTATTCTCGCAGAACATGTACTAGCATATCCTAGCTTTTTGCTCGAGGGTTGTGATACGAGTGACACATCCTGCATGTACTATCGGCCCTTTGCTAAGTTCGGAAATTATTAAGTGTCACAATAATCAAATATGTAAAATATGAAATACACAGCTATCCCCGCCGTAATGATATATTTGTCTTAAAACCAAACTGACATTCTCCCATTCTCTCGTATCTCGTAGTAGCATTTGTCGCATATTTTTTTCAGTATGATACTCACATATGCAAAGTGGTATTGCGTGACGCAGTGAAGATACTATGCGAGTAATAATAGCGTGAGTAAGAGCGAAACCTCATGCACTGTCTTGCCGTTCAACTGCAATTTTACATTTTTAATGTGTGCGTTACTTTTAATAAACACAGGTGCAGTTAGTCTTAAATCGCTTCTTGCGTCCACAATCGGAATCTAAGTGGCTAGTTAACTTTGATTAACTCGGCAATTTTATAGCACAATTTGCAAGGATCTAATGCATAATAGGAGCAATAAAAATATAAGTCGCGTATCGTCCCAGTCATATAGCATCACTATATAAATAGATCTTCGCTGCAAACACAATCTTCTTTTCTACAAGTTGTAAAAACTGAGTATGTTCTAAAATAAATTAAAGTTTTTAAAGTCACTTTACTTTTAAAGTAAATTTTTTTAAAGTAAGTAAAAAGTTTAATATACCAATTTGCTACCTAAAATTTATTTATTTATTTATTGAGATATCATACATTAATTACTTTCACTAATGCAGCGAAGATATTTATTTCTTACAAAGATAGATCATTACTATCGATTCATCATGGTTTGAAATAGTATTTTATATATATTTCATAGTGTCATTTGCTATAGCAATAATATCGCGTAACACGAGTAGAATGTTTGTCAAGATTTGCAGATAAATAATAGAGGACACCATGAAAATAAATAATACTGTGAACGAGAAAGAGCATTCTATACGTTATTTTCTTATAGTAGTTGCGATCAATCTCTCTTATTTGTTGCAATTTTTTTTAGCACGAGTTACGATCGTTAGTAGACGCAGGTGTAGTCGGTTTCAAGTGCTTCTTATGCCCGAGCGGAGATGGATATCCACACGTCTCTGTGAACGATGTAGAGAAGATTTTAATGGAATTACTCCCTACAAAATCCGTACTAGCGGTACTTGTGCTATGTCATTCATAATATTTTTGTTACATCTATTCACATTACGAGCATTAATCGAGCAAATGTAATATTTGCAGTTTCACGCAGAATACGAACAGAATGAAAAAACGAATCCATTAAATGGTACGTGTAAATAGCATTTTTATCTTTGCAGGATTACACAGTTTTTTCGTATCGTATTTTCAGGCGATCCAAACTTGTACGACACTTTTTTGCATTCTCGACCTGACCAAATGGAATTTGATGCTGTAAAATTAATCTGCGATTGGTGTACAAAATATAAGTAAGAGATTTATTGTTCATTCCAATGTTCATGTAAAAGTAATGCTACATAAAACTTTCTAGCTATCGATGTCACATAGTGCATTTGTCAAGTGCGGAGTGTTTGGCATTAATAAACGATGCTAAGGCTCGTGGTGCACCTTTAACCGTGGAAACGTGCCATCACTATTTAATACTTTCCGCGGAGGAGATACCGGAAGGTTCTACTGAATTCAAGTGTTGTCCGCCGATCAGAAGAAAGAGTAATCAAGTAATTATATAGACAAAAAATTTCTTATCTATACATTTTTATATAAATCTTTTCTATCTAACAATTTCAATTTAATAAATATATTATATATTCTTCCCTTGATAATTAAATTTCTTTGAAAAAGTTCGCTCTGTATGCATCTGTCAAACATGTAAAAAGATATATAATGGATTTGTGTAACTTTATTTAAATACATACAATCAGAATCAGGCTTATTCGGCGAGGCAAAGTAATTGATATTACTCGAAATGTTTTAACGTTGTACATACATGTGTTCAGGAACAATTGTGGCAAGCTATTAAAAGCGGAACGGTGGATATGATTGTTTCGGATCATTCTCCTTGCGTGCCGGAATTGAAAACTCATGGAAATTTTTTGACTGCTTGGGGTGGAATCTCTTCATTACAATTTGGTGCGTGTTGATATAAAAATCAATATTGAAATGATTTATCACAGAAAATAGTATGAGATGTGATACTGTGAGAGAGGCAAGTAAAACAGAAACAAAATGTTTTACAGGATTATCGCTAACGTGGACAGCCGCGAGAACGAGAGATATATCATTTTCCGAAATCTCAAAGTTATTGAGCAGTCAGCCTGCGAGAATGTGCGGTCTCGACGATCGCAAAGGTAATCTGTCGGAAGGAATGGATGCGGATTTTGTTATCTGGGATCCGGAGGAAACAATCAAGGTCAGTTCTATCGTACACATTATATTTCAAGAGAATAGTTTGCGTGGACATATCATCAAAAAAATTTGTTTTATTTTTTTAGATCGAGACAAATAATATTTACCATAAAAATAAAGTAAGTGTAAATGCGATTAATACTGATAAAAAAAAAAAAATGGAAATAGTATGATAAAAACTTCAATAGGTTTTACGAGTCTCCAAGCATAATTTAATTTTGCAGTTAACACCGTATCAAGGAAAAATTTTATTTGGAAAAGTGATCGCAACTGTCCTTAGGGGACAATTCATTTTCAGAGAAGGAAAAATTCTCGATAAACCTGTGGGAAATTTATTGTTGAATGCAAATATTTTGCAAGAGATAGAAACTCAGTAAACTTTATTTCACTTTATAGCTCGCGAGTCTTTATCGCTTTCTTATTTCTGTTTTAACATGAATTTTTGCACAATAAAGAAAAGAGAGAGATATCTAACAAATCACGGAGACAAAATTTTCATGTATAAATAAATTCACATGAATTTACTTTATATCGTTAATATAATCGCAGTTTGTGTCTTTTGAAGACTCTTCCTAAACGCAGAAGATTAATATTTATATAGAAACACTGTTGCTCGTCCAGTATTAGGAATATCTGATGTCGATATTGTGAAACAGTTTCAAAATTCGAGAGAGAAACATATTCATAAAAGTGAAACTCTTCAGCGCCGATATGGGCAACAGCAAATCTTGTCTGTGCTGTATATTGGTCAATGGGGCACCAATATTCACAACAAGTCGCATGACGTTCCTCGAGAACGTATAAAGTGAAATGGTTCAATTTGTAACGCCGATATTTTACCGTTATTGTTCTTCGACGTTTATTTTTCGACGCTTAATTTGCACTCTGTATATAGTATTCGAAAAATTGCGATATATTTAAGTAATCTCTACGACATGAGACAATAATTTCGCAAATTTTTAAGGTATAAGTAAAATATATTAAAAGTAAGAAAAAACATTCTAATACCGCTGTTGAATATGATTTAATGTGACATAAATCAAAATGTTTTCTCCGTAATATCTCTTTTTTCTTTTTCTTTATATATTTCATAATCCATATATATATATAATTTTATATTATATATAAAT